ATATCTCTACATAGGAATAAATTTTCAGACGGAGATCATTTATTCAAAGCTAGACAGAGAGAGACCTTTTCCCTGTCCTGATTTTTACGTCATGCCTTCTTTCGAAAAAGATATGCTAATTGGTAAGAAAGGGTGGGATAAAAACAGTGTTCAAAGAAACCCTTTGCCCGGTTATGTAATCTTTTAGAGATAAATATGACCCATTATCGAGATCCGGCTGTTACAAGATTGTTTACTCATGTGGTCGATGTTATGTTGGTGAGACATGCCGACCTATTCGATAAAGATTGGGAGAATACGAAAATGCTTGTAAAGGAAGCTTGGTCTAACGGTCAGAAGTAGCCGAACACATGGTAGAAACTGGACATGAGATAAAATGATCTTAAAATAGTCCGTTTGCTGATTATGGTACGTTTGCGGTTGAAAGAAAGATAAGAGATGCTATTGAAATTAATAGCTTAGGAAATACGTTGAATGTGAGGAACGGTGGTAGAAAGTTGAGTAGGAACTACTTATGCTTGATTGATGGATTGAAGAAGAGAGAGAGAGAGTATTGAGCCGCAATCCAAAAGAAGGCGACTCAATTTGTCTGCTCGGTGATGGTTCTAACTTCACTCACACCCGCCCAACATGAGCTAGAATAAGCTAATCAACCAAACCAGTCGCGCCAGATCACACAGCCTCAGTCTTGCCTTTCCTTGGGGGTTTGAACGTTAATGACCCTAGACTCAGAGGTTAGGACAAGTGGCCTCGTAACTTGACTTACATGCTCACAAGCTCATTTCTCATTATTTCAATCATACTTGCTTACGGATCTACGCAGTCTCGGTCAGGGCTTTTTCTTGGGTCATTAGGCCTCGATGATCAAAGCTTGACATTAGCTTTTTGATGACTATCATTTAGGACCGGTTTTGCGATTCCGGAATCGAAAGAGATTACCTCGAAAACAGCGTTAGCATTAATCTTCCAGTAAAGCCAATCAACAGCTAGTCAAGAGGAATCCACCGCCGTCTTCTGGTGGAACCGACCTTCGAATCTCTTCACCCAAAACTTTCATTCGAAATGGAAGTAAGCTCAGCCCGTTTTCACCCGAAACGAGGGAGGATGTCTCGTGGACTGCGTCAACCTGAACATCGTATAAAAGCCAAACGGCTGCAGTACAACGAGATTCATCCGTCCTCATCTTGTTAGATCTACCAGCGCATATTTTCTTCATACACTTTCATACGAAATGAAACTTCCCTCAGCAATTATTTCTTATAAAAATCATTTTTGTAAGAACCGTATTCACTCTATTTAGTTGAATTTGCCCACAATGCCACAGGTTTCCATTGAATTTCACATAGCCTTGCTGCCTGAAAGATATGCTCATGCAGGATGGACTGTAGTTTCGACCTTGCCTAGGTTTTATCAGTAACCCCAGTAGGACTCGAACCCGAATAGTGTAGCGTATAGCCTCGACGCAACCACTTCGTCACACTTTCGCAACTGCCTTTGGGCCACAGAGCAGATGTGAATTTCAACGACTGCCAGGCCTTTCCCATATCACATTTCTCGAGTGGTATGTTAGCTGAAGCAAAGTTTTATTTGCTATTACATACTG